TCAGTTATGATTGAACACAGTTCACAGTTATTGGCTGTTAAATTTAGTTTCATTTTAGCACTCCATAGAATAAATTATGTAGGACCTATATTCCTAACATAGAAGTTTCTAATGCACTTGGTCCCTGGTTTTATGATGATTCAGCTTCTGGTTTTTGAATTTTACAATGGGTGTGATACCATTTCAGTAGAAACCATACTTCGATTTTTGAATTTTCATCTTTTGCCAACTAGTGAGATGTGTTGCATTGCTCTCATGATGCCGGACAGCAGCATTGAGCTGCAGCTTCCACTCAGCCGCGTGACCACGGGGGTGACGATGACACTTTCTAGCATTCTGTGCCCATACATTCATTTTGTTTTTCCCTTTCAGTACAGTATTTGATAAATTACATGAGATATTCAACACTTTATTACAAAATAGGCTTTGTGTTAGCTGATTTTGCCCAACTGCAGGCTAACGTAAGTGTTCTGAGCATGTGTAAGGTTGGCTAGGCTAAGTTATGTTCAGTAGGTTAGGTGTATTAAATGTATTAATTAAATGTATTACATTTTTGACCTACAGTATTTTTAATTTACATTGGGTTTATTGGGATGTAACCCCATGTAAGTTGAGGAAGCTCTGTGATAATCTCCATAGGTTAACAGATAAAAATAACAAGTTAATGCTTAGAGTATTTTTGTTGTACAATCAGAGTGGGTGTTTCTCTTTTTAGCTTTTTTACTATAAGCGTAGTAAATAGAAGTCTTTGGGAGAGAAAAAGTGTCTTTATGAAAGGAAAACAATTGAGCAAGATTTTAAGCAGATAAATTCTTTTGAGACTTCTGTCCAAAGTATTTTCCTGTTAAATTTGTTGAGCTATTGGAGAGGCTGGTTTAACTTTTACTTAGGTCCAGGTGTGGATCTATCATTTTGTATACCTTGAATGGGAATGACTTTATTTAGTTTTTGGGTTGAGTCTTTGGTGAAACCGTACTTTAACTTGGTTAGTGCTATAGCAGCAGCAGCTGCTGCTCCATCAGTTGTGCTTTTTGTTGGAATATGCATAGATGTTGTACTTTCCTGCACAAAGTTTGTTATAAACATAACTATTTCAGCTGCCTTGGGCAAGTGTTTTTTATCTGATACTCCAGTTGGAAATACTGTGGTGGTCTGATCATACACTACCTTCAGTGCTCGGACTATTTTGTGTTCTCAGGGTGTGTTAGTAGTGTTTGTATCAATAGAGTCATGCAATTAAGAGGAACAGAGAAATAGCCTTTCATTTCCATGTGGCTAATATTTTAAAAGTTGATCTTATATTTTCAGTAGAATCAAGGTCAGTGGGAATGTTCCATGATGATTCACATGATCACTTTAAATTGAGTAAACAAGGGTGTATTCTAACTTCTCTGCCCCCCCCCCCTCCTTTTTTTTGAACTCAAACACTTGATTAACTTTTGGATGAACTAGACACATATATTTCTTAATCAATCATTTCAGGAGCATATATTTGTAGATGATATGGTTTTGTTGTCTTTGAAGTAGGAATTACTAAAACACTACACTTGAGGTTTAATTATTGTGAGAGAAAATGGACAAATTACTTAAAAAACGAAGTTGTCATTCTTAGTAGATATGCCTCATTGTTTAGCTAGATTAGAGCTGATACCTTTCTACTCCAGATTATATCATTCAGTAATCCAGGAGTACATTTTGCAACCCATTCTCTTGGACAGTTTGGGAAATTATATTATTTAAATTAAATGCTTAAAGATGCCTTATTGATTTTTTTCTTTTTAAATGGCTGATAATATCTAATATAAAAATGTTCAGAGATAAAAATATAGCCATGTTCTACCTATGGATTTCAGTCTTCTTATACTTTGAATTAGAATCAAGTCAGAGATGGGACACAGGAGCTCATCAGGTAAAAGTGTCAACATCAGTACTAATAAAGCAGATTGCAGAATGAAATTTAGATCTGAAGGCAAATGGACCTGTTAATCTGTATTCAGTCCCCAAATTTACTTACACCTAGTGATAGGCAATGCTGGAAAGCCATAGACTTCCTCCCGAGAAGCACGCCATTTACAAAACATGGTTGCAGAGAGAATATAACATGTCCTGAGAATCGTTCTGAAAGAAAGAGTATCAGAGATTGATGAATGTGGGTGCTTATTTCTTTTTTCTTATCTAACAATTAGACAACTCACTGTCTTTTTCTTGGAGAGGAATGAGTTATAAAGTAGAGAGAGAGGTCACTAGTACAGTGGTTTTCAAACTGAGATCCATAGTAAAAGTTACATTTTAGTTATGACCTCATACACATACACACATGCGCGCACACACACACACAAAAAACAGGTTTCATGAAACATTGCTTATATTTACCATATTAATGCACTCTAATATTTTATATTCCATTTTATTAAAATAAATGATAGTCATGACCTTTTAAACTGATTTTATGTACCATGAATGGGATCAGTACAGTTAACAAACTTAAACTGACTTTAGTGGATGTAGTCCTACATGAAAACATGAGCCAGGTGTTAGACGTCCTTTTGTTTGCTTATAAAATGATATCAGCTTGGTTACTCACAGCTTGGTTACCTAATCATTAGGGGATGTTGTGCAGTGCCTAACTTGGGAGAGAGAATTACCTATAAAGACACTGGTTAGAGAACATGAAATCTCAAATTTATTTTCCCTTGCTTTTTATTACTAAGAAAGAAACTATATATAGGATTGCCTGAAGGATCATTCTTTTCTATTCTAGATACTTGAAAAGATTTTCCTAGATTAAGTCAGGCCAGAAAAGTATATTCTTGTGTCATACTTTTCTTTGCTTTCATAGAATTTCTTGTGCTGAAATGCAGTTAGGTGTTATGTCACTGATCATCATGGAAGGAATGACCCTTTGTCACTCACTGCGATTTCTTAAGGATATTGTTCACTCTGTGAGCCTTTTTTATAAAGACTCCAAGGAGAATTTACTTTTTGCTTTCAATATCAGGAATAGTGCTTTTTCTTAGTACCTGGTTTGTTTTCATACTAAGGATACTGTGATTCTTGTAATGGATCATGTTGCTCTATTTGTTTTGACAGCTAGAAAGTAGAGAGCTAAATTTTTGGCCTACATTTATAGGACCAAATCATATACAGTTTCTTTACTGACATCATTATCCTACATTTTTTTGGGAGGTGAGGGGCCCTCAGCTGTTACTTTTCTGTTCTAATTTTCTCATATATTTAAAAAATCTTATAGTTTTTTATGCCTTTTCAGGTCTATTATATATTTATATAAATATAAATATTATAATTTGCTACAGTTGAGATTAGATTTTAAAAGTGAAATAAACTTAATTGTTAGAATAGAAAAACAGAGTAAGTTTGTGAATTTGGCAGGGTTCTTGTGATTTGTTTGGTTTTTAAAAATTATATGAATAAGCATTTTTTTTTTTTAATTTTTTTTTTTTAAATTTTTTTTTTCAACGCTTATTCACTTTTGGGACAGAGAGAGACAGAGCATGAACAGGCAAGGGGCAGAGAGAGAGGGAGACACAGAATCGGAAACAGGCTCCAGGCTCTGAGCCATCAGCCCAGAGCCCGATGCGGGGCTCGAACTCACGGACCGCGAGATCGCGACCTGGTTGAAGTCGGACGCTCAACCGACTGCGCCACCCAGGCGCCCCATGAATAAGCATTTATTGTTAAAAGTGTTTAAATTTATTTTCATATCATGTACTATTATACTTTTAAAATATTTAACGTTTGTTGGTATCAAGAACAAATATAATTTTGGAGGATAAAATAAACTGTAGATTTCCCGAATCCTTTCTGGAATGAAGTTAAAGACAAACTAATAGTAAATATTTTTGGTTATTTCCATCTAACAATGGTGATAAAATAATAAAAAGTCAATTTTATAAGTGATATATGTTGACCTTTTTAAGCATATAAAATCAAGTTATGTGCAGAGTATTTTTAAAACAGGGTTTAGAATTTCCTAAATCAATTTCTAAGTTTGTGGTTAGTGTCATTTTCTACACAACTGTGTTTTTAACCCATGCTGATCATGCTGTTGCAGATGTATTACACATTGTTCAAATGTTGCTTAAATTTGAAAGGACGATTTAATTCATTTTGATTTCTAATTTTAGTTTAGTCATTTATATAGATTTTTCTATTTATAATTTTATTAGCAAATGTCAAATCTAATTGATGCCATACATATATTCCAAATAGATTTAAAAATGATTTGAACATTATAAGAATTTAGAGTTAATCAGTGAAACAGAGTTAGAACATGGAGGTATTTTAACAAAATACAAATTTCTCAGTTATAGAATCGAGTGTAAATGTCAGCCTTCTTGTGAACTTGTGAATTAAAAAGTCACCCAAGAAATAGTCAAGTGGTCATTTGGTTAGAAAAAAAGATCGTTTTGGTTAGACAAAAGGTCAGGTATTTCAAGCAGTGCTGTGAGGCTGGTGTGAAATCTGCTTATAATAGAGCCTTAAAACTCTGCTCATACTTCTGAACATGATGTGAATAGCATGTAGAAATAAGAAATATGGTGAATATTGTTAGCATCACTATGGGAAGAAAGAATGTTCTCGGAAAACTATATTGTCAACCCTGAACTACTTTTGTTAAATAGATTATAATGCACACAACTTACATTTTTTCTCTTTGATTCAGGATCCTTTGAAAATTAGGAGAGGTATTTTAGATAATAATGACAATAAGGACTTGTACTGTGGCTTTGGAACTTTCTTGAATAATTCCTCAGTTCACAAAACTCACGTTTTGTGTCACTTCGTGAGAAGAATATTAACATTTGTTCATGTCTAAAATAACAATTTCTATATTTTCTATAACATTAACAAACTTTACTAGAATCACTGATCTTAGAATGGAAAAAATATATGTATGTACCTTTTACTCTTTTAACATGCCCCTAAATAGCTTCTGTGTGTTCAGTGAAACTTCTTAACATTTTAATCTGTTCTTACAGGGTTCATGCTTGAACCAGATCCAGAACATAGACCTGACATATTTCAAGTGTCCTATTTTGCATTTAAATTTGCCAAAAAGGATTGTCCAGTCTCCAACATCAATGTAAGTAGTTTTTCAAGTAGGATATGAATTTAAAATCCCATATAGATAGATATATACATATAGATACATATACTTACAGAATTATTTGTTTCATGACAAGTGGTCCGATAGTGTGTTTGTGATTAGTATTTTTGACAAAAAGTCATAATTGCCAGAAACTGTGTATTGACGTGCCCCGGGGAGCTACTGCAGACTTGGGGCACAGCAGGATATTTTTCCTTTTGAGGGACACACAGTGACATCTGTTTGACACAGCACAAATTAGTATTATTAAGTTGTTTGGGCCTATCATTTAAACAAACAGAACTATTAGATCTTTAGTTGGAGAGGGTCATGACAACTTGCTGAGGCACTAAGCACTGGGTAAACTGAAATAAGTTTGGTTACCTTTGGTGTAGAGAGCATAGGTATTGTAAATGTAGACACTTGGGTTCAGATCTGTCTTTATCAGTGACTGATTTTGTATATTTTGGGAAGTTACTTAATGTCTGTTTTTTTTTCGGTCAAGGTAATAATTATTAGGATCACAAATAGTAAATGTAAAACCCTGTGCCGAGTCCATGGAAGGCGATGAGTTGATAATAGCTAATAAATACTATTTAGAGGTTTTGAATTATATTCAGTCTGCATAGTATACCTAACTATGTCAGATTAACTGTATGTGGCAAGTCTTTGCTAATTTTTAATAAAAGTCTAAACCCATCACTAATTTTAAGCCATTCTCAACTTTGTAAAGATCATTCTGGCTCTTGTTCTTATAGATGTCTCGGTATGTAAAACTTAGTCCATCCCACTAGAAAAATAAGGATGTTGATACTATTTCTTTTTGTTTTTAAGTCTCACTGTAATATATTCTCTGTTGATGCTGAAAATCAGGCAGGTCTAATATTATAGTCATGAAAGTAAATTCATTTGACATTTTTTTTTTTTTTAATTTTTTTTTTTTCAACGTTTATTTATTTTTGGGACAGAGAGAAACAGAGCATGAACGGGGGAGGGGCAGAGAGAGAGGGAGACACAGAATCGGAAACAGGCTCCAGGCTCTGAGCCATCAGCCCAGAGCCCGACGCGGGGCTTGAACTCACGGACCGCGAGATCGTGACCGGGCTGAAGTCGGACGCTCAACCGACTGTGCCACCCAGGCGCCCCTCATTTGACATTTAACTGTGGATTTTTAGTTTTTCATTCAGCAAATATGCATTTGGGTGCCTACTGTAAGACAAACGTTCTATAGAGCATAAACAAGTCTTCTGCTCTTGTTTTCTAGACTTTTTACAAGCAGTGTCATGCAAATTATCTGCAGTATATAGAAATAGCACTTTATTCATATGCTTGGTGTTTGCTGCCTTTTCCAAAGTCATTTGGAAAATAGTCATTGATTTACAAATGTAATATAATCCTTTTTATCCAATATTTACCTATTTGTAAAGTGGATATATGATGATGTTCTGTTTATTTTCCAAGGAATTCTGTGGAACATGAATATTGAAAGTGACATTTGTGTAGAATGAAGTGGTATTTGCAGATTAGATCTGGCAAATATATGTGAATATTTTGTAGGTATCTGAGGTGAAAGTATTTCACAGACAGTACTTTTTAAGCTTAAGAGTGTATCTATAGCATTTAAATAAAACTTTCTGCAATTGAAATGAAAACCAAAATGAAAAGTTTTATTTTTTTCTTCGAAGAATTCTTCTATTCCTTCAGCTCTTCCTGAACCGATGACTGCTAGTGAAGCAGCTTCTAGGAAAAGCCAAATAAAAGCCAGGTAGGCAAAGCTGTGCTGAGATTTGAAAAGGCATTTTTTAAAAAAAGGGTATAGTTCTGATGTTTAATCCTAGCAAGTGTCATTGATTAAATATCATTCGCTTATACACAAAAAAAATGTGTGTTCCTTACTGCATGTGATGAGGAGCTTAGATAACAAGTACAAAAGAAGCTTTCTTACTTTAGGGATGGAGTTTGACATCAGTCTCACTTGAACTGCTCACCCTTAGCAATTAAGAAGTGGTTACGCAGCTAGTGATGTTACATTGGATCATTTTGGGGGTTATTATTTTATCACATGGGAACTCTAATTCATGAAATTTTATGTTTTGTGTTTGTAGCTGGTATGATTTGTTTTTAAGGAAAGAAAAAATAACAGGCAACTGTTTTAGAATATTCTAAATTTGTAATCAATTTTATATATTCTAATACATATTTAAAATATGTATTACTATGTATAATTTATAATGAATGGCTATAGTACTTGTTAGACTGGTAAAGAAGTTTTAAATTACCATTAATAGTTATTCACTGTACTGATAAGTTTGAGTTGTGTTATGTATGTTAAGATGTGTATCTGGTCAATGATTGAATTAATGATTGATTTTTTTTCTTCTTTGAGTTTAAAACTTAATAAACAGGATTATATTTTAGATTATCAGACAGGTATAATATTGCAGTTGGGGACATTTCTTGGTCACAGCTTTTTTTTGGTACTGTATTTTACTCATGCAAAGATTTCATTTGACTGAAATACATAAAGTATATTTATTATGTACCTGTTGTTATATGCTAGATATAGATACTGTAAACCACAAAGTAAAAGGAGCAGTGTTTATTCTCAAGGAGCTCACATTCTAATGAAGACAGACAAGAAAAGAGTTACAACCTGATAGATACCAGGCAACTAAGACTGGAGGAAGGGAAAGCTGGGAGCAGAGAAAACATAAGGACAGAAAGAATCCTTTTGCCTTAACTTTTCCTTGAGGGATGAGTAGTCAGTCACCTGGAGTGATGGGGAGTGAAACTGTAACAGGCAGGCACTTCAGGCAAGCAGAATGGCCTTTGTGAAACTGCAAGGCTAGAGTGTGAGGGGACATAGAGGAGAGGGGTGGGAAATGGTAGGTAGATGCCAGTCATGAACAACTTTGTTTATATGTTATGCTCAGAAATTTGGACTTTGGCCTTTAAGCCAGTGAATTTTCAACTGGCAGCAGTTCTACGATTTGTGACTTTGCTGTTAGATGTGTTATAATAATAAGTAGTGAAAAATAATTTGCTATTTAGAAATTAAAGTATCATTTGTGAATGACTTCGTTTAAAAAAATATACCATCACTCTAAAAAAATCTTCATTTACTTGAATTTAAAATACTCTTTTGAGTAAGAGATGAAAGAGTGAAGTTGCATCTAACTTGCACGAATTCACTGTGACTGTCTTATCTATGACGTAGCTGTAGTTGGCAGCTGCTGTTACAGTTGAGTGGCAATTATGAACTATTGTAGGACTTGTCAGTTCAATTTTATTTTATTGGTGTGTTTTTAATAATTATTTTGTCAACGATGAAATCTGTAAGAAAGCAGATATAGATTTTTTTTATTGAGATATGTATAACTTTTTTTTTTATTTATATACGAAATTTATTGTCAAATTGGTTTCCATACAACACCCAGTGCTCATCCCAAAAGGTGCCCTCCTCAATACCCATCACCCACCCTCTCCTCCCTCCCACCCCCCATCAACCCTCAGTTTGCTCTCAGTTCTCAACAGTCTCTTATGCTTTGGCTCTCTCCCACTCTAACCTCTTTTTTTTTTTTTTTTTTTCCTTCCCCTCCCCCATGGGTTCCTGTTAAGTTTCTCAGGATCCACATAAGAGTGAAACCATATGGTATCTGTCTTTCTCTGTATGGCTTACTTCACTTAGCATCACACTCTCCAGTTCCATCCACGTTGCTACAAAAGGCCATATTTCATTTTTTCTCAGCAGATACAGATTTTTAAAAAACATGACTCAACTGAACAAGAATGACGTTTTGAATATCTTTTCACCATGACACAAGTCATAGCTATACAATTATAACCTAATGAAATAGTTAATGCAGCTAAAATTCACAGTACTATTCATATTATGTCAAATCTGTACCTGACATTAAAAATTAGGTTCCTTGGTGCTTATTGGCCAATAATATAAATTTACTCTTTATTGATATAATCAGTAAAGAACTTGAAAAAGTTTAAATGTGTCTAAAACATAGTCTTTTTCATGTCAAAGGCTTATCAGTGGGGAGGGGTGATTGGAGAAATCTTTAAATACCATTATTTACGTGTTTCAGAGCTTTTATAAATACTGTCGATCTGCCCGGCCTTTACTATGTGGCATGTTTTGCTTTACTTCTTAAAAGCCCCTTTCTATTTCCCTGAAACCTGCACCTGCTCTTGGGACTGTTAAACATTTGAGACTTCTGTGACTTGCATCTAAAAGTGGAAAAGTTGAGAATCACTGTCCTGCCAGATGGAAACACTGAAGTATTTTAAGAGGAGAGAGTGTGTGTTTTAGGAAGATTGCTCAGGTGATAGGAAGGAGGAGGAAAAGAAAGGAAGCAGAGAAAACAGCTTTGTCTATTGTAATAGTGCAGATGAGGCTGCACAGTAGTGTTGATACTAATGATTACTCAGTCTTTCCTTTTAGTCACGTTTGTGTTTTCATATTGCCTAATCTGCCCAGGCATTTTCTTCCCATTGCTTCATACAGAATGCTTCATTTCTTTTTCACTGTCTAATGAAAGCATATTTATTTTTTATTCTCCAGCGCCTACCTGAAGCCTTTCTAGCCAAATTAGGTAAAAAGGCGGAATTATTCCTCTGTGAAACTCTTGACTAATTATATTTACTGACTTCTATTTTACTGTATGTTGATGAACATGTGTCACATCTTCCTAGGTATACTGTAAATTCTTTGAAGACCGGGTATTCTGCCATGTTTGCTGGATAGCAGTAATCGTATGATAGATGTTGGTACATGGGTAAAATTAGGCAGCAGTAGACTAAAATCTGCAGACCTTTTAATTTGTTTTTTGGAAGTTTGCTATGCTCATGTATGTTGTGAATCTCTATAGAGAAGTTTATAACAGGAACAAGGCAGGGTAGGGCCTGGCCTCTACTATCTTAATAAAGAATGGATAGACAGATAGAAAGATAGTGTAGAATATACAGTCCCCAGATTACTTGAATTTAGAGACTTCAGCATTGGTTTTAGTGCCATATCCATAATTTGAACTCAGTAAATACTTGATTATCATTAAAATGAGATATAACTGGTTTTATATATACATACATATATATATATATAAAACTTTATTGCCTTTTAGTTCAGTTTTCCTGTAACTTGTACCATAACCCATCCCATCTAAAACATAAATGTTATTTTTAGAAAACAACACACATATAATGTATTTCTACTATTTTCCACAATCTTTTGATTCAAATTCACTTCTTTTTAGAAAGATCGTTGAGAGGGCTCCCTCTTGTGGCACATACAGATATAAGAAAGAACTGTAGATGTACAGTTATTGTACATAGGACTTTCTCCAAATGCATGCAGCAGATACATATTTGATAAATCATGTATGCAAACTTTTTAAGTACCAAATCATTTGAAAATGTGCTAAGGGAACTTGGTGAAGAGATTTTATGTCAATCATGTTGAAAAGTAAATCAATAACTCTATTAAAAAGTACTTGAAGTTTTGTACTGAATTTGTAGAAAAAAATAAGTTGATAAATATATAAGTTAAAGATTTTCCCTGGCTTTTAAAAAATTTTTTTTTGGAAAAGAAAATGTCTGTGTCTTTTAGTGTCTCTTGTTTTCAAACCTATGCTTACCACTTTGACCTCCTGTGTCTGTGGCCTAAACTAAGTCCTAGTGGGAAGAGTTTTATATGATTTCTATTCACTGTTGTTAAGTAAAGCATAAATATCCAAGAAGTTGAATGTGAGCAGATGGTTCCACCTGCTGAAAATTTGGGCCCCTTTTTGTTTCACATGCCCTAGAGCGCCATCTTTTTGTTCTTGGGCCTAGAGCCTAAGGTAAGGGAGGCTGTTGTTTGTATCTTGTTTTTATTTTTCTGACTGGTTCACAGAGCTGGCTCTTGATTTGGTCCAGAACCTTATGAGAAGGTTTATGTTTGTGTCTGCTACTTCATTTCCTTAAGAGCAATCCTGTATTCTTTATCTACCAGCTTCAGTGGCAGACTGTGAATGGTAGCATACTGAGTTAAGGAAAATGGCTAGGTTTATTTTATTTACTTTCCTATCTTTATTAAACATCTAATACTTGGGAATGAGACAGGAAGAGGCCGAGAGGACTAATATCATCAGTAATAATTAAAATGCATCTGTTGAAATAGATGCTTTATAGGACAAATAGTAAATTAGAAATACTGCCAGTATTTAGAATGAAATGTGTATTTTTCTGTTGTAGAATAACAGATACCATTGGACCAACAGAAACCTCAATTGCACCAAGACAAAGACCAAAGGCCAACTCTACTACTGCCACTCCCAGTGTGCTGACCATTCAGAGTTCAGCAACACCTGTTAAAGTCCCTGTTCCTGGTGAATTCGGTAGCCACAGACCAAAAGGTAATAGCAGCCCTGCCAACCTTGTCACCTTTACAGTTAGCTTAAATCTTATGGCTTGATATTCCTAGGAATATAAATTATTGGCAAACTTACTATTGTGAAGCATATAACTTAATGCTTTAAGAAACTTTCTACTGATGTCTGATAAACTCAACTAGTTTTTCCTAAAGTTGTAGGCAAAAGTAGTAACATACTGGTAATATAGAAGTATGGTATAAAATGCTTTCAACTTGCTTATCCATAGAGTCATCAGCTAGTAGGGTTTGAGGTTGATAATAAAGTTCTAAGAGTATGGAAAATTCTGTATTGTATTGGAAAGGAGGAAGTTGAAAATTTAGCCTTAAAAAGTTATATGTCTTTCCACTGCATCTAGAACCTTGGCAGAGGCATCTAGCTTAGGTCGTGTGGACATTACGACACAGAAACCTGTCTTCTCATCTGATTTTGAGATTTGTTTTTCTAATCTAAAACATCCTCAAAGCATTATGGTGCAGTGTAGTACCTAAAGAAATTTTTTCCTCAAGGAAATATCCCTAATATTAGCTAGTAAACTTGTTCTCTCATGGGTCTGGGGATATAACTTGAAGCCCCATCTTAAGAAAACCCTGTTTTGCATTTTATTTCATGATTTAGGTGTTTTGTTTTAATTTTAAAATGTTTTTATTTAAGATGTTTTCAATTGGTATGCTCTAATGGTTAAGAGCCCACCAGTTTGAGTCTCATGAACCTGAATTTGAGTTCTGTTTTTCCCATTTCTTAGTAATATATGTTATAAAAATTTTGGTACCTATTTGATAGGATTGCTGTGAGGATTAAATAACTGCTTAATATAATCCCCTGTCCTTACGAAATGTTAAATATTAGCTACCACTATTACTGTTAGGTGTATATTCAGGGAAGATAATGTTAATGTTACCTGACACGTTGCTGCTTACTCCTGTCATGTCACTCAGATGGGAGGATTGTTCCATGGAAAAGAGAAATTAGGGGAAGTTGAAGCCTTTTGTGTCTGTTTCTTAGCCTCACTGTTCTCTTCTGTAAAATGGGAATAACACCTATTTTTCCTGTTATAAAGAATAAATGACAAGGTGTGTGCTATCTGGAAGTTTCTGTTTCATAGTAAGCATTTAGTGTTGTTTTTTTTTTTTTTTTTTTTTTACCATTTTGGGTTCGAGATCTACTAGTCTTCTCTATGATGTATCAATGCCCTCCAGCCAAAGACCACTTAGAACACACTTGTATATGAATAAATTTGGTTTATTACTCACATATCATGGGAATCTGTGGTGGTGTCTCAGTAAGATGGAGCTTGAAAAGACTTATTGAAGGATTTGGGCTTGTTTTAGGTAATTCTGGGGGAAGCTTGAAGAAGGTGGGGCTTTGCTCTGGATTGAATGCTGTCAGGAAGCCAGGGGTATGATGTTATTAGGTATCTTAATAAATCTTACTTCTCTAGAAGGAGGGGAGCTAAAGTTCCAGCTAGATAGAAGCAGTAGTCAGCCCTATTCACCAGGACAGGGAGAGGTTTGGTCATTTTTGTGGTTGTTTCTGATTTTGTCAGGATTCGGTCCCCTTGTCCTGATCTACCATGGTCACAGGAAGCCTTGTCTGATGTTAGTGTTCTGTGAAATTGTTGTTTATTAGGAGAACACCAAGTCTAGCTGTGAGGGTCGGGCCTGCTCCTATAGCAGGGACAGCATTTCTTTTTGTCATGCTTCCAGCTTAAGTTGGAAAAATAATACTCCTTTCCCCCCCCCCCATATGTGCATCTTTTAACTTTTCCCCCCATTAAAAATTATACAAGAAGTGACACTTAAATATATTCTTTTAAAATATTCAGCACAGTAGTTTTCGGGGAAAAATGTAAAAGTCTCCGTTATTTTTTCTGTAGAGTAAACGAGCAATAGGTTAGTATGCTTCTCAGGGTCCTTTTTTATGTTTTTGCATGTTCATATATAGATACAAATAATTTATGTTGTGTTTAGCATAAGTAGATTCTTACCATACATAGTTCTCTGCAATTTGATTTTTTTTTTTTTTAACTCCTACAGTTAGGAGAGCTTTGCACATCAGTGCATATAAATCTACCATGTGTATTTTAGTAGGTAGATTATGTTCTGTAGTATGAATGTATCATAGCTTATTAAACCATTTAGGTTATTTCCAGTATTGGTTGTTATTAAAAGTATTGTGGTGGACATCCTTATAACAGACTCTTTTGATTTCCATGTTGGAGTATTTTTTCTGAGGAAGATATTAAAAGGTATACTCATTTAAAATTTGTCAGATTGCCATCCAAAAAGACTTCAAAAATTCACACTGAACAACAGTGTCCTTTGATTCCTATCCTTGCCAACACTTGATAGTATTGGTTTTTTAGAATGTTTCCCTGTTTATAGGTGAAATATCTTTGTTTTTATTTTAATATTCCTGATTAATACAACGTTTCAGTCTACTGGCCGTTTGTTTTCTCCTGGATTATCTTTTGTAATTTTCTGTGAGATTGTTTTGCTTTTATTTATTTATTTTTTTATTGCCCTGAAGATTTGATTTTTCTGTATTCTGAGTACTAGTTCTTTGCTAAATATATTGTAAATATTTTCTTATAGTTTGTCTTTAATTTTACCGGTGATTCCTCTTAACTTCTCTGAGCCTTAGTTTTATCATTTGCAAACTGGGCAATAATAGTATGACGATTTAATGATATACTTGAAAGCATTGTTTCCATGTAGGATTGCTGTGATGTTTATGATTTCTCTGGTGCTCTGTGGCTTTGGCTAGAGAACCAGGGAACTTCCTTTAGATTGCTGTCACTAACGTGAAGTCACAGTTTGTGAGGTGAAAGGTGAGCCTCGTGAGTTATTTTATGATGATTGCTGGTGTAACTGGGCTTCACTCACAGCCATAATGTTCTATGGTTAGACATCAAGGTCCTAAAAGACAAATAACGCTGAGGAGCTTAACTTTTCAGTACTCTACTAAGTGGGAAGAAATATACTTAAAAGGCTAATTAATGGTGGTTATGTCTGTGTGGTACAATTATGGTTTTAATTTTATTTTGCATATTTTTATAAATTCAAAAATAATTGCAGTCAACATGCATTTTCTTATAATTGGGAGAATTAGAATGTTACAAAACTATTTTCATAGAAGTGTGTTATATTTAAGGCCTAGGAAGTTTAAAGATATTGGTGAAAAAGAATCTCCCTCTCCTTCCTTGCACTCTTCCTCTTTTTCCCCCTTAGGAATATATAGCTGCATTTGAATTTATGGTAACTCATTGGAAGAGACTACAGAAATTATAGTATATCACATTTCTTCTTTTTGATGTTGTGTGTGTCTTTCTCATAATTCCAAAGTTTATTTATAGGATTTGCCTTGGGTGAAATTTATGAAGCTTATAAATAAATATCCATTTAGGAGGCAGTATTAATAGATTCACTAAGCTAGCATTTATTGAGCATCTCTTATAAAAAAGATTCCTTAAGGCATTAACAGATCAATAAGTCATCATCCCATCCACCAGGGACCCTAGTTAGGAAATAGCCATGAAAACAATATGTGAGGGCCGAATGAAATGTTATAAACTGAGTGGAACTATTAGATAAAGGAGCAAGGAAGAGAGATTTGAGCTAAACTTTGAAGGATAAGAAGAATTGCAGTGGGTGGCAAGTGGCATTGTCGACGGAGAGAATCATATTGGCCAAGACACAGACCTATGCCAGTGTATGTGATAGTTGAGAAGCAAGAAAGAAAGGATGTGGCTGGTGTGTTGACAGATATGAAAGAAGTGTTTCTAAGATGTTGACTTGGGCAGAGTTGTATTTAAGATTACAGTAAATAATCCCTTTGGACTACATGCATATGGAAGTTTCTGTGTTACAAAATAAGGATATAAATGCCTTGGTAATGTTACTGAAATGAGTGTTTAGAAATCCAGCCATTTTGTTGAAGTCTTGAGTATGTTAACCTGTGTTTCACATGGAAACCACTTTTTAGGAGCACCGAGACCTGGAAATGGCCCCGAGATTGTATTGGGTCAGGGTCCCCCTCAGCAGCCTCCACAACAGCATAGAGTACTTCAGCAGCTACAACAGGGAGATTGGAGATTGCAGCAACTACATTTACAGCATCGCCATCCTCACCAGCAGCAGCAGCAGCAGCAGCAGCAGCAGCAGCAGCAGCAGCTACTTCAGGATGCCTACATGCAGCAGGTAATTCTTTGGTTACTGTGGATACGGGAGTAGTGTTGTGAAATTCATGTGGCTGTTGAGTATCAGGGAGTTCCCTTTCATACACTGGGCACCTTCAGTTCTGGGTCCAAGTGAGCACTTTGCCCAATTTCCTGATTATTTTAGTTGCAGTCTGTGAGATTCTTAAGAATATTCTCTTGAGAGGCACCTGGCTGACTCAGTTGGTTAAGCGTCCGACTCTGGGTTTCAGCTCAGGTCCTGATCTCATGGTTTGTGAGTTTAAGCCCTGCGTACGACTCTGCGCTGACAGCACGGAGCCTGCTTGGGATTCTCTGTCCCCCTGCGCATGTTCTCTCTCTCTGTCTCAAAATAAATAAACTTAAAAAAATAACATTAAAAAAAGAATATTCTGTTGAAATAGATTGAAATCATGGCTTTATGAAGCCAAAAATGTTCAGTCATTGGACATTATGAATAAACATGGTTGTTTATGGTGAATGTTATCTTTTTCAGGTTATATTTTGAGTTGAGAAACAGATTTATAACATTATTACTGGAAGGGTGATAATTTAGGCTTTCAGAAGTAACATTATCTTGGGATTTTGTTCTTTTTGCTTTTTTTTTTTTTTGGCCAGGGTGAGAGAGAGTGTGTGTGTGTGTACGAGTGGCATTTAGAGTTGGAAGGGACATAGGAAAAAATGACCTTACGTTCTATTCTGCCCTTTGCCTCGTTAGGACCTACAAATTTCTAGTTTCACTAAACTATTTCAAATTTAATGACTTGTCACAATCATCCTTCCATCGTTTCTGAAATGTTTTTGAGCCTATTAAACGCATGGCACTTCTCATGGATGTCTCATCTTCTGGTCTTGACTGATAGACCCAGAGCGGAACATAGTTAAGTAGACGGTGCCATTGGATGGCCAGAAGATATCATTGAAGGGAAGATGGAGGAGATTAGGAATTTACTATAATGGGTCATGGACACAAACTAGGGTTTTCATTAATTAGTAAATGTGTTTGGGTTTAGTTTTCTTCCAAACATCCTTAAACTGTGCTAGGAATAGTTTTAGTTGAATCTGTTATGTTTCATTGATACTTTTGAAACCCAATTCCAATAAGCATGTGTAAGTTGTAGTCCTTTACTGACTGTAGCTATTTTACTTTGGTATTTGGACCACTGGTACCCATAGTTATGATGTTAAGATCAGTACTAAAAAAAAAAGGCAAAACAAAACAAAAAAACCAACTATGGCACAAAAAAGGCACAAGTAATATTGATGAGTTTCTTTGTTTTTTCATTGTAGTATCAACATGCAATGCAGCAGCAACAGATCCTTCAGCAACAGTTTTTAATGCATTCAGTGTATCAGCCGCAACCTTCTGCATCACAGTATCCTGCAATGGTAAATGTTACATAAGTTGTAGAAATTTCTGAGAATACATTCCAGTGTTGGAATTCACAGTATAAATGGTATTATTCAGAATTTAATTATTCAAAATTAACCCAAGTAGGTTAATGAACACATTTTTTTTTTAGTTTTATTTTTTATTTTTAAGTTTATTTTTGCAGGGGGAGGAGCAGAGAGAGAGGGAGAGAAAGAATCTCAAACAGGCTCTCCTGGCACAGGGCTCAATCTCATGAACAGCGAGATTGTGACCTGTGCTGAAATCAAGAGTCGGACCCTTAACTGACTGAACCACCCAAGTGCCCAATACAGTTTCAACAAAGCCATTCGTGTGTTCCAAAGCAGTTTTACATTGGTTTGAACTGTAGCACCTAAATTTGGCACGTTGTAACTGACTGATGGTATTTTTCTCTGATCTCATGGTATAAAGGAAATGATCTGTTTCCCATGATCTTTTGTCATATGTCTCTTTCATTTGGCACATATCTGTTGAATAAAAAAAGAAACCCAAAGGAAAATTGCATTTACTTCAGAGAATAGTGTGACTTTTTAAAAAATTTTTTATAGCAACTGCTGTTCTAGTGACTGTAAGCTACTCCATTGTCTTTTTCTTAAACTATTCAAGTGAGGAATTTAAATCCTGCCAAGAGAGCCGGGCTTTACAGCTTTTTTTTTTTTTTTTAATTGAGGTATAATTGACATAACATTATATTAGTTTCGGGGGTAAATGTAATGACTTGATACTTGTATATTTTGCAAAATAATCACCATAATACATGCAGTTAAACAGCTTCTTAAATAGACTTATTTTATCTTGCTGAGGTATTCCAGTAGCAAGCTGCTCCTTCATATATAAATTGTTTTTCAGGCTTCTGATTTTGTTGCCAACGTGAAAAGGAAGGAGCAGAGTAACTAGGTGCGATGCTGACTGTGCTTTAGTGACCTGGAGCAAGTGCTGTTTTGTGTAACAGGCGTTTCTTGTTTCAGATGCAGCAGTACCAGCAGGCTTTCTTGCAGCAACAAATGCTAGCTCAGCATCAGCAGCCTCAGCAACAGGCGTCTCCTGAGTATCTTACCTCCCCTCAAGAGTTCTCACCGGCCTTAGTTTCCTACACTTCATCACTTCCAGCTCAGGTTGGAACTATAGTGGACTCCTCCTACAGTGCCAATAGGCAAGTGTTTTTCCGGTGAATGCAAAAGAAATTATTGTGGAAGTGGGTATACATGTGGAGTGGAGTCACTATGTGGCTCCTGAAGTACTCCAGAGTCCATGTCTCTGCAAAGTCCCCCTTTTTGTCTTACACATCCTCTCTTTCTGTTCCTGTGCATCCCCATCCTTCCTTGCATTTCCATTAGTTAAGTCTGCTGATTGCTATTTGCAAGGTAAGGCTTAGGCAATATGCAGCAGCATTTAAGGCTAAGGAAATTAGTGGCTTATATGTTAAGACATTCTTTGTAATGTAAATAGAAACAAAACCCTGACAAGCTACTTTAATATTTTAAAAAAGTAATTCTTGTAGACAAGTTAATTTAGCTTTTTCTCCTTATATATTATTGCTTTGAATTAATTAGATAATATTTACCCACAGATTGCCTAATTTGGTTTACTTTAAAGAGGTACAAAAAATAATAACATGTCATTTGGTTCTTTTTTAAGATAAGAAGTATAAGGTTATTGTTACTACAGCCTTGTACATTTTGGTATTCAGATACATTGGTTAGTAGTTATTTTTCCAGGATAATTCATATTGAAAACATTACAGTAAACTAAAGAACGGTGGCATAAATGTTTTCAAACTCAGATTTGAATTGGGGAGTGCTTCAGGATTTTGTAATGAAAAAATCTCTTGGCCATTATGAATACTTCCCAGTATTTCTGGATACATAGAAGGAAGTAGTTGTTAGAACTTTGGTTACTGGAACACTAAAGAAGTTCTCCTACAACACTATTTAAGGATATGATCATTAGCTGGGAAAAGGTATCTGCAAGCTTTGGCTAGGATTTGGGCATGAGAAATATCACTGAGCATGTCAAGAGAGGAATAAAGTATACAGTTTGCTGTAGTACACCTCCCAGCCTGTGTGTGTGTGTGTGTGTGTGTGTGTGTGTGTGTGTGTGTGAGAGAGAGAGAGAGAGAGAGAGAGAGAGAGAGAGAGAAGGAGAGAAAGAGGGAGAGAGAGAGGGAGAGAGAACAAATGGATTTATTGAAGTGTTTTCCTAAATTAAAAATTGAGGTGCATGAATTAGGACAAGTATGCAGAGCAGGGCATAAGATCAGAGGCTGGTTTAAAGATGCAGATTGGTATTTGCCAAACCATTTGTTATTTGCCTACTCTGGTTACAGTTTTTTGATTTAACCACATACCATTTTTGTCTCTAATAAATTAATAGCATTATTGCAAATAATAGCATTAAAACAAATCATATTAAACATTTTAAACATATTAAAACTACTAAAATCTATGAAACAAAAGTACTAATCTGTTACATTTACAAAAAAGATATACCTAAAAAATAAGTCCCCTAGGGATAAGAATGGAATAGTTTTATTCTTTATTAAAAATAGGATATTCTCCTCAGTATTGTTTAGTTTAAGATACTGATGAGATTTATATTAATTTTTTTTTACTTTTGATGTTAATGAGCATAAAAAATGTCAGTTATATCGTGTGTGTGAGTGTGGGTGTATAGAGCATATATATTATGTATACTTTGTATTCTAAAGGATTGCCAACCTTTGGAAACAAAGGTTTGTCACTGATGAGAATAGAGTCCTGCATTGAAAATCTGTAGGAGAAAGTTCTTGTTAGTGTTCCATTGCATGTGTACTATCTAAACTGATTAGTTATAAAGGACGATGAGTATCTAAAGATATATGAGGCCCAGGTAAGCATGCAGGGTGCTGAAAGCTATGACTTGTAGCTCACATAGCATTGCCTACTTAAATCTCATCTCCAGTGACACTGTTTATAGAATCACAGGTGTGATGTGTTTGGGAATTTTTTTTTTTTCCTAATTTCTGTGTAACTTTAGAAAAAAAAATTGGTTTATCATCAAAATCCTCTGCATACTCCAGTTTGGGAAATATTGAATTGGATATCTGTGAAAGTGCATAAGACTCGTTTTAACTCCACCCCTGTGAAATTATGTATTGAGGGAGATGGGAGGTTGGAGCAGGAAAGGGTAATGGTTAAATAGGTAGAAACAGTTACATACTTGGCAGATATGAGCACTAGTTTCCCAGAGGAACAATTCAGTTGCACTTGGGGCCTTAATGTTACTTTGTTAATATTTCCATTTAATATCAATCTTTACCAAAGATATGTTGAGTATAATATCTTAACAATTTAAAAGGTCATCTGTAAGCAAATATTCCTGCTTATAACTAGGTCAGTAGAAGGTGAGAATTGGGTTAAATGTTTGGCTCTAAATGTATAAGAGATGTTTGAGTAGAAGATAAGAAACCGGTAGTTCCTTAGACAAAGGGAAAGGTCAGTATCTTGGTTAGCATGATTATTTCCTTTACCACTTAATCTGCTAAAATTTCTACTCTTCCATTGTGTTGATATATCTTTAGTATGGCTATTGGAGAGTGTTACCATGATGTATTCAAATAATAGTGACATAAACATCAACACATATATTATTTTACTTTTTATGGTAAATTGCCCTGTTGTATTAGTTATTTGTTGCTGCATAATAAATTACCCCCAAATTTAGTGTTTTAAAACAATGATAAACATTTGTGATCTCATACACTCTTTAGATCAGGAATTTCGGAGTGGTTTAGCCCTATGTTTATATCAAGGGAAGGGTCTCTCATGAGGGTACAGTTAAGATGTTTGCCTGGAGTTGCAGTCTGCTGAAGGCTTGGCTGGTGCTGGAGGATCTTTTCATAAGATGGCTCACTCAACATGGCTTAGGGCAGGAGGCCTTCGTTCTCTGTCACATGGATCTTTCCAAAAGGTTGCTTAAGTATTCTTTTTGGCAAAGCCAAAGACTGTTTTGAATAAAGAATTATTTGTTCTGGTTTGTTCAAGAGCAAATGGTCCAAAAGAGAGGGCAAGAAAGAACCTGTGATGCCTTTTATGATCTAGTCTCAGAAGACACACTGGTCCTTCTCTGCCATATTTCATTTGTTGGAATTGAGTCACTAGATCTAACCCAATATTCAAGGGCAGGGTAATTCGATTTTGTGCTTTGAAGGGAGGAGTGTCCAAGAACTTAAAATAGATGTATTTTAACACCTATTTAAACCATTGGTTAAGGTGACACGCCTCATTGATTTATAGTCTACCAAGAAGAATCAATGAAATCATCCAAAGAACATCAAGAGGAGGATAGGGATAGGGAATCAGAAAGTTCTCAAAGGGATCATTGGCAGGCAGGAGGGAGAACACCTATTTCTGTTTGAGTTCTAGCCTCTCTGATTTGTGTTTCAGGGGCTCTGAAAGTCCTTGAAGGCAGTTTTGGAATTAGTATGAGATTCTGTCATGTGGAGGCAGGCTTAGATATTGGCAGTTGATGCGTTCCCACCATGAGTTCAAAACTGAATTATATTTGATTTTAAGATAGCTAAGTCATATTTACTAAAAAAGACTATCTACTTGTTGGTAAATTACTATGTTTTTGTCTAGCTTTCAGTAAGTGTTTACACATTCCTTTCTTGGCTCAGCTATACTGTACAGGCTTGGACTAGGGGACTAAATGGGCAACTTTTGCCCTCTCTTTTCAAGATCTGAGTGGTGGCAGTGGAAGTAAGCTCCCAAGGGGAGAGTGTATTTAGGGAGATGAGTCAAGGCTTGCAAATTTGAGGTACTTTTTTAGAAATGCATGGAGATTCTCCCTCCATTACCAATGTTAGAATATCTGGACCTGAATTATGAAACAAATGTGACAACTTTGTTACATTGCCTTGTACCTGTGGTATATTTCCAGGCTGGGGTGACTGACAGGTACCAAGGGATTGTCAGGTTAAGAAATCTTTACATTCTCACCTTCTTTTAAAAGCCAAAAGGCCTATTAGATAACTTTCATAAAACCAGTGGTCCCAAGCTCCAGCTATGTAGATACTTTAAATACCATGAGTTATTTATTAAGTAGAAAACAACCGTCATCTAGTTCTAGCTAATACATAAAGCAGTCCTAACAGTTCATGTTTTCTTGGTAGCTGTGTAGAGAATGCCTTTGTCAAAAGGAAAATTATTGTGGTGTTCTCAACATAACCAGGGCATAAGATCATATTCAATAGTGATTTTAGAGTGATACTGTTTGACACGGCAACTGATTGTCACTTTAGGGCTGTTTGCTATGATGATCATAATATTTATTGAGTGCTGATTTATTTTTCTAGATACCGTTCTTTTTGTTTTATACGTATTAACTAATCTTCTCAGTAACCTTATGGGGTAGATAGTTACTCCTGTTTTACAGATGAAGAAGCTGAGACAGAGAGAGGTTAAGGAACCTGCCCAAGGGTACACATGGGGGTGGTTCAGATCCCAGGTAGTCTCCTTAATCTGCCATTTCCATCATAATAAAAGGATCTGCTTTTCTAAGTATTTAGAAAGTATGAAGTAGGGCACTTTAGAATTTTTAATTCTAATGTTTTTTTTTCTTCTTTCCCTCTCTTAATTATTACTATAGGTCAGTTGGTGGTAAAGAGGCAGTTGCAAATGTTACAAGTCAGAAGAACATCAGTAACCCACCTGATATGTCAGGGTGGAATCCTTTTGGAGAGGATAATTTCTCCAAGTTAACAGAAGAGGAACTGTTGGACAGAGAATTTGACCTTCTGAGATCAAGTAAGGGACACTTGAAGGCTTACTTTGCTTCACAGTAATATAACAGCTCTATAATAATTCAGCAAGGCCAAAGACTGTTTTGAGGTGGTAAATAGAAAATTCTTTTTGTGCATTTGAGGGCAAAAATCAGGCCATCTTCTTTTATATATACTATCTAACTATGTTGTGTGCATTAGAAATCAATTGCTTGATAGTAGCTATTAAATCCAAGATTGCTGATAATAATGCTGATTCCTAACACTTAAATACTGCATAACTTTGAATGTTAAATTCAGAATATCTCTAAAACATGGAAAATTAATGTTCAAATGAAAAGGGAGACATTAGTATCTTGCTTACTAATCATTTTGCAGCTCTGTTTTCTTGCACACTCAGTAGAAGATATTGTGGGTCTGAAATGCCCTTTGAAAGTGCCTGAAAGAAAACATGGGCTACTACATTATGTTAATGTTTTGTGATGCCCTTTCATTGAGTCCTGACATAAAAGGGCTGCTTTGTTGTCCTGATATGGCAAAAGATAAATAAATTATTTTCCACTTTAAATCAGATATCTCAATGTTTTTACTTGGAATCCTTACCTTTTCTTAAATTACCTAATATATATGTCAAGCCTCACCACACGTATTTTAGAAAAGTTGTTTTTTGGAAGGTGGGTGTGTGGAATGTTTTCAGAAGGTTGCAAAATAGGAACAAGAAGCTAACCTCTAGAGTCTGTAGATAATTTTCAGGTTTTGGAGGCCTGTGTGTGTGTGTGTGTGTGTGTGTGTGCGCGCACGCCTGTCCAAGTGTGTTTTCCTGTTTTGCGTGTGAAAAGACAATCCAAATGGTCCCTAGTTTTAGTTCCTAGCTTCTATTTTATTTTAGGTAACTGGCTTTATGAGAACACTGATTAGATGAAATGCTTTCTTCCCAACTGATACATATTTTATGTAAAATTTTTATAAATTCCCTGAATTCATGAAAGACTACTTGTTTAGGATTTAAATTTGTATTCTTCATATTGGTTATATGCTTATGAAAAATTAAGTTGATGATTAATGCAGATATAAAAATGAGCTTTGAACCTTTAATAAAGGTTTGTCAACTCTGGTAAAACCAAACTTACATCTTTTAATTAAAAAAGTTTTTGTAAACCATGACTGTTTTTGTTTGGCATTTCTAGTATACTTTATGTTGAGTATCCCCCAGAGACAAGTTTTAAAGAAGGAAATGAAGTATCTCTTTCTTTCGGGGTAGTGGCAGGGAGACCCAGGGATTAACCAAATCAATACAATTTATGGGGTTATTTTGAAAGCAAAAGGTAAAATTAAAATATTCATTTTAGTGTGTTTTGACCCAGGATGGTAGCTAAGGGTTTGCTAAATCAGTATTTTCTACTCTTTGGGTAAAACTCCTCCTTTTTTTTCCATCAGTGGATGGAAGGGGTAGAGTATTCTCTATCTTATAAAAATGTGTTATTCTGAGCATCTTAGAATTTGTAATGACAGCCAAATTTTACTTACTTCACTTAGGGAAAAATGGCATATAGTATATTCATGTGTACATAACTTCATAAAATTTGGGGTTAACATGTAAAACTCTTAACCAGCTATTTGCTTTCAAACTTCAAGATCAGGTAACATGTAATTTTTATATGTATCTGTGCACACGTGTCTGCCAGAGTTTAGATTTTACTGCCCTGTTGATTATGGAAAGATAGTAAGTTCCAAATGCAAGTACAGGAGGAGCTTTATCTGAAGGTCAGACTTTGGAGCAAGTTAGCCATTTGGAAAAGTGCCTAGATGGTCCCTGAGCTATTGAAACCACTGTCACAGGGCTGCCACACTCAAATTGGCATATAGCACCAGAAAACATATGAGGGTTCTGATACTTGGCAATGCCATTTAATTAGGTTGTAATCTCAGGAAAGGGACATAACTGCTGTCTCACTTCCTTGTTTATAAACTGGGTATAATGATGCTTACCTCGCAGAGTTATCAGGAAAATTAAATAATGTCTTGAAAGAGTCTGGGCACTCCATAAATGCCACCTCCCTTTCCTCATCTTCAGTGGAAATCATAGGTTCCATCTTGAGGTTATTGCCCTTTAACCAGCATTTAAAAATTATATATAAACTATCAGGTTTAGAAAAACCAAATTAGAAGGGACTTTATGCACAAACAACATCAACAGCAGAAATGACATGACAGCAAAAGAAAAAAGTCTGTCTTTTCCTTAATAATTGATAGTTGTAATAATGGTGTTCAAAAAAGGTGAAATATCTTTAATAACGCTTATAAAGAAATCATTAATGTATAGAATATAGTTTAGAAAGATTTCTTTGCAAAGTGTTACTTAACTGTAATATATTCAGTCCTCTTTAGCACCTCTGACTCACAAGCAATAAGGTATCTAATATTTGATCCACTTGACAAGGTCTAAATTTCCCTGCTGCATAGAAGATTTCATTCAGAACCTTAGGAGTTTCAGTGGAAGGCTAACAGTGTAATGAAAGTTAATTAATTTTGGTCATTACTAGTTGGTTTCTTTGTTGTTAAAAACTTTTTGTAAAATAGTAAGTAAATTATTGATGCATTTGAAATAGCAAATTTTCCTTTTTTCTCAGCACAGATTTTACCAGCTATTTTCCAGACTCTTTTTTGAAGTAATTTGTATTTGGTTTGTGATATGCTTTCCATTGAGAAACTGAATACCTGTATATAGGCATTGCCCATGTAATGATTGTTCAGAGTAATACATTGCCATCTGAGGTTTTATTTTTAAGATGGTACATGGTTATTTATTTTTTAAAAAAAGGATAATTCTGTCTAGGAAATATTTTACTTGTGTGTATTATCCAAAAGGTGATTTAAGAATCATATATTTTGACATACCAGAATTCTAAAATATTAGTAGTTGGTAACAAAAACTTTTTTAGTGATCTTTAATTAAAGACTACAGTTGTCGGGGCACCTGGGTGGCTCAGTCTGTTGAGCATCCGACTTCAGCTCAGGTCATGATCTCACAATCTGTGAGTTCGAGCCCCGCGTTGGGCTCTGTGCTGACAGCTCAGAGCCTGGAGCCTGCGTCAGATTCTGTGTCTCCCTCTCTGCCCCTCCTCTGCTCGTGCTCGCTCGCTCGTTCTCTCTCTCCCTCAAAAAGTAAATAAAAATTAAAAAAAAAACAATAAAGAAAACAGTTGTTGATTCCATATACCAGTTGGCAAAGGGATTTAACATATAAAATAGACCAGATTCTTGCTTTTGCTTTCAGTGTAACTGAATATTATTTATGGTTCAGAATTTTTTGTCTGTTCCTACTTAAAATCAAAACATTAAATTAAAATTAAGCATCATGAATAAAGCTGATATCAGTGACATTTTTTAAAGTTAAACTTGTATTTTTCTTTGTCTTTTGTACCAAAATATCCAGATTAGCATGTAAACTTTAGAAATCTGTGATAAAATTTAATACATTAAACACTAATTAGAATACAGGTGTTTGCTTTGGGAAAATTTTTAACTTGCATTTGTTCAAATGGTTGTGTAGCTCTGCATGTTAATTAAAAGTAATACTTAATGGAATATTATTTTTGTTGATGGCAATTGTTTGTTTCTGTTTAAAACCGTGTTACAATAACTAAAAGGAAGAAGAGAAGAAACCACAGACTATGGCTGCTTTGCACATTCCACCGAATGTGTTCTTTTTTTCCTGCGAAGCCATGGAAGGATATAGATGTAAACATCTGTATTAGTTTGTTGTAAAATACTAACTCTTTCCATTTTAAGCAAATTCACATTTATGGCTGTTTCTTCAGTGCAGAATAACAGAACTTCTCAAATATATTTGAGTAGTTTCAGAAGTATCAGGTGAAGACTGTACTTGTAAAATTTATTCATTAACTTTTTGGCTATTCAGTCCATTACCCATATAAGCTGCTGAGTTAACTTATCAGGGTATATTAATTTTCTGATGATGTTGTGGAATATACTTTGATTCTAGGATTTTTAAATCCTGTATTTTTGCCCTCTGTATCAATTAAAAATCCTGAAAAGATATGTCTTTATTCACCTACATAATTCTTTTGGGAAGGCAGGAGGAGGTAAGTTTCTTAATATTGGGCAAATCAAGCTCAAGTTTTGCTCTAATGTACACCAATTATTTGAAAATGGATTTAAATTCATTTAGGGGTGACTGTGTATTTGAAAAGTATTCCTGTATACCTTTTCATTAGCTTTCAATTATAGGTAATTAATAATTTAAAAAATTAACATATGTATTTATTTGTATTTTGTACCCTGAGATCTAGATTATTCTGTGAACTTTTTTTTTAATTAATATTTTAATGTTTATTTTGAGAGAAAGAGAGAATGTGTGAGCAGGGAAGGGGCAGAGAGAGAGAGGGAGAGAATCCCAAGTAGGCTACGCTCTGTCAGCACAGAGCCTGATGTGGGCCTCAGTCTCACGAACCACAAGATCATGACCTGAGCTGAAATGAAGAGTCGAACACTTAACTGACTGAGCCACCCAGGTGCCCCTATCCAGTGAACTTCAGAAATTTAAATGATTTAAAAAAAAAAAAAAAAGTCCTCCATGGAAAAATTGATTCTGTGTTTTATGGAACAGTGAGAACATGATTCATTTTATAGTGAATTTATTCTGATTTCTGTTTTGAAATAATTGGATAAATGAACTTTGCATATAAGAGTGTCTCCATATTTTAAACTGTGAGACTCACTGTATAAAAAATACTGATTTATCCCTACACGATAATGTTTGTACTCTTGTCATAACTACATGGTGCTGTTTATACATTTATGTGAATTTGCCATAGATTGATGGAGATAATATACCAGTGCATGAGGATTCAAAGAACTTTAGTGGTAACTTTGCATTTTTATGTGCTGGGAACCATTGGTACAGTACTGGTTTATAAACCTGGAGAGCACATTAAAGTGTAGATTCTCAAACTCCTGCTCAGATAATCTGATTCATTTCATTAGGTTTGTGGTAAGGCCCAGGTAACTACATTTTATACAGGAATCCTAGCACTTACAATGCAAGTGGTTTAGAAAGGAAGTTTGGTCCTAGTTTAGACCTAAGTACTTGCATATACTGTCTTGATTTTCAAGAATGAGGGATCTTGGATATTGTTATGCTGTGGCTGTCACTCTGAGACAGTCTCTTTCATCTGTCCTTTCCCACTTCCTCTTTTCCTTTGTCCTTTTCTTTTCTGTACCAGAATTTTCATTGTTATCCACTGCAGTATTGGATTTGAAAAGTAACTCTTAAGTTTTGGAACTTTTAGTTTGTGCATAAATCAATGTTCAGTTTGTTGTCTTCACAAAATATTTATTATTGTATTACCAGTGAAATTTCAAGTAAAATTTTAGTCAACCCAAAGTTTCAGGTGGATATTGCACAGTTAGTTTAGCCATAAAAGCTGATAATTGTATCCATTCTCATAAGGGTATTTAAAGAATTCTCCATAGCAATAATTAAGTATAGTTAGGATATTGTCGACTGTAGGGCTTGCCTTCCTGAGTGTGCTCCCTGGACCAGTAGTATTGTATCACCTGGGAGCTTGTTGAAGTGCAGAGTCTCAGAACCCATCCCAGAACTGTCCAATCAGAATCTGAATTTTAATAAATCCCAGCTCACTGGAATGCACTTTTAATTTGAGAAGCACTGTCCTAGGGTGCTTTCAGTTGGAGCTTTTTGCTTCATTCTGAAGTTATACTTCATTTTTAGGAACGTCTAATTATATTTGGATTTTCTTTGCGTACCCTGCAATGTCTTAGGACTCAAATGAGTCCCGCAGAATTTATCCATAGGGTTTTTAAACATGAAGGGTATAGTCCTAGGAATGCTTACAATGCCTGAAAAAACAGAATGGGTTCCTAATAGTATACGCTTGATTGCTAAGAATCAGAGGATAGGGAGACAACTTACAAAAATTGAGAAGTTCCCAGCTGATCAAGTGCCTGTGATACGCAGTTTAAGAGCAGAGCAAGGTAATCACTACTAGGGAGTTAGGGGACAAGCCTGCCTCTGCAAGAGTCAGAGCCTTTGCTCTCGCGTTCCCCCTGTCTGGTGTGTCCTTCCCCAGGTATCCCTTCCCTGCCTCCTTCGAGTCTTTTCTCACCTGATACTTATGAGTCTATTTATTACTGTCACTTGTGCCCACACCCTTAATTCTTTTTACCCCACACTGCACTTTTCTCTACGGCTTTATTTTTAACATGCTCTATATATTTCTCATTATGCTTATTGCTTTTTTTGTTTGTTTGTTTTTCCATGCCAGCATATAAACTCCAAGAAGGCAAGACCCTTCATTTTGTTTGATGTTGCCTGCCCATTGCCTAGAATAGTGCCTGGCACATACTAGATCACAGATATCTATTGGATAAAATAATATACTCTGTCATTAAGGCTTTTAATTTAATAGAGGAATATCTGTATCTTTCTGTGCATATGTGAATGATAAAATAACTACAAAGTAACATGAGAAATGAACAGTAAGGTAATAAATTATTGCTATTGAGAAATAAGATTTACTTATTTTATGAATAAATAGCCGTTTGCAATATTTTTCCCATATGTATGTTTGGAGGAAGTCTGCCAAATGTGTCTCTTTTTAGTAAGCTGGGTTTTAGTTCAGGTCCAGTATGTTACAAGTTGAAGACAACTGGGTATTTAAATAAACCAAACTAAGTTATTTATTAGGTTAATTGTGTTTGTGATATTTAGCAGTGAGAGGATATTGTTAAGCTTGCCTTGTAGCAACAAGTATCTATTAAGCTCAGGACTTACCCCCTAATACTTATAAAAATGAACTCTGAATCTAATATTTTTCAAAAAGGCTGTTGCTGTGTTTAATTTTATTTATACTGTTACCATTTTTTTTTAATTTAAAGACCGTTTTTATTTTATTTTATTTTTTGTTTCATCTTATTTTTACAGACAGGCTCGAGGAGAGAGCATCCTCAGATAAGAATGTAGACCCACTTTCTGCTCCACATAACCATCCTCCAGAAGATCCTTTTGGTTCTGTTCCTTTCATTTCTCACCCAGGCAAGTTACATATGTAACATCATCATTATCACTAAAAAATACACATAAGAACAACGATAATAAAAATAACAAAAAAACATTTTATTAATATAAAGCCAAAGTAAGAATTAGGTGTTAGTTATAGAAAATAGAAAATTATTTTTACCTTTGCCGTTCTAGTCTTCCTGATGTCATTCTTTCCATTGGGATGTTCAGTTGTGCTTTTTGCCAATGTAGAAAAATGCTGATTTACATAGTAGAACCATAACTGTTTCTTCTTATCTTTATTGTTGGATACCATTGAAAACAATTCATGTATAACATCTCTCTCCTTTTTATGTATTTAAAATACATTCAAAGATATTTTTATACTCAGCTTTTGCTTAAAAATCCTGTGTTTTCCTAAGTTTATACATGGTTTTTTTTTTAGCTGTGTTTAAAAAGTATTACTGATTTTGTACTTGTCACAGTAATTTGGTGACAAATTACTCTTTTCTTCTTTTTTCCTTTAATTTTAATTTAGAATTTAAATACTGTTATTGCCAGCAATAAATATCTGTAGTAATATTTTCCAAGTAATTCCCCAGTTAACACTGTCGAAGATACTAGGATAGAATAAGATCCCACTTTGGCATAAATGGATTTGTGTGTGTGTTCATAGTGAAAAAAAAAAAAAGAGTTTGATGATAGAAAAGAGAAATATATTAGAAGAAATAATGCCTTCTTAGAAGGTAAAGGTTTTGTTTACTATATTCAAGGTAACTGTCAGCCATGTTCTTGCATTCTTTTCCTTGTATTTTTCACTCAGGCAAGTTACATATATGTAATAACATCATTGCTACCATTTAAACATTTAAACATGCACACAAGTGGGGCGCCTGGGTGGCTCAGTCAGTTGAGCATCTGACTTTGGCTCAGGTCGTGATCTCGCGGTTCGTGAGTTCGAGCCCCACATCGGGCTCTGTGCTGACAGCTCAGAGCCTGGAGCCTGCTTCAGATTCTGTGTCCCCCTCTCTCTCTGCCCCACCCCTGCTTGTGCTCTATGTCTTTCAAAAATGAATAAACATAAAAAAAATTTAAACATGCACACAAGTGAGAACAACAAAAGAAACACCTTATAAACAAAAGAAAAATTTTAATTGTAAGTTTAATAAGAAATAGGTGTTCAGGATTTCTGATGAATATATTGAGGCGGTGTTAATACCTTTCAACATTTAGATTTGGTTTTCCAGAACATGCAGCACAATAATTAGGAGTTTCTACATACTTTTATGTTCTCTGTTTTACTCTGTGATATTTAGAAAACAGTCCATATCCAGTTTCTGTTTCTTTCAAATTACCTTTTTAATGAATGACACGACATTAATTGGGGAAGACAGTTTATAGTTTCTACTTAACATGCACATATGTACTCCCTCAAACCCCAGATACCCTAGGTCATGAAGATGTTGTTACTCTTTCCAAACACATAATAATATCTCAAAATGGTCATTACAAGCTGTCAAGAACCTAGGTCTTAATCTGTTTGTGGTAGAAATGGTTTCAGTACTGTTAGCTCTTTTCCACACCCTAGAAGGAGTTCTGTAATCCCTTTCAGGTTTGCACGTAGCTGTGCAACTTCTTTTTTCTTTAAGAGCTTCTGAAAGAAACCTGGTGAAATGGACCAGAATCAGGGACTAGAGTAAGCCCCAATAGTTTGCCTTTTCCTTGGGCACCCTTATTTTGGGGTTGGCCTAGGATTTTTGTCGTTAGAAATATGCTCACAGATTTGAGCTTGATTGCTGCTGGTGTTATTTTGTTTTCTTTTCACTGTGGGCATTTAATTCCTCTGTTATGTTATAAGCTTATCAAGGGGTGGGTAAAATGAATTGTCTATCTTTGATTCCTACCTAGTAGCCAACCCAGTAATTATCTAATAATATTCATTGGATGTATGAAAAAATTCGGGCTATTCCTAAAAATTCAGACTCCTAAGTATTAAGATAGTGATCTTAAAAAATGATCTTTGCTATAAAGGCTATAAATGCTACCACTACTTTAAAAAGTTGGATTTAACAAGGTTTATAATGAAAAAAAAAAAAATTCACTGTCTGCTGTGTCCCTGTCCCTTTTTCCTGTTTAGACTCCTCAGAGATCATTTTTTCACTTCTGGTATTTTAATATATCATACTTACTCTGCTATTTCTTACTTTTTACCTCCAATTTTAGATAGTATGTGTGGACTTCCTAAAACCCTACTCTACCCTCCCCCCAAACACACACAATCACACACACGTTTTGTTCCCCCTAGCCTTCCAGTACAGCTTTGACAAAGTTGTTGGTTGTCCGTGTTCAGTGTGTACATTTTTTGAATATGTAAATATTTGTTACCAATGTTCCAGTGTACCATGATTACATTTCCTTTCTTCTATGCGGTTTTTGTTTTTTCTAGAGTTAATTATAATTATGTTTATAAAAATTTCTGTTTTTATTTCTTTATTGTTTTATGTACCCTGTCATCAATTCATCTCCATTTAGAAATATGAATTTCTTCCCATTTTAAGGTGGCTACCATTTTCATTTTTACCTGGTTACCTCTCATGGAGCTCTGCAATCTGAATTGGTTGTTTCCTATAACTTACCATCCTAGTATTTTCTTCTACTCTCCAGACTTCTGGGCATTCCTGGGTCTCCTCTCTCTTCTTTCTTTGTTAGTAGAGCAACTCCTCTATTAGTTTCTTGAGAAAGTATGCATGGGAGGAAAAGTTTTAAACTTTGCTGCCTAAAAATATATTTTTTTCTGCACAAGCACTTCACTGATAATTTGGCTGGGTAAATAATTTTGTGTTGGACGTAATTTTCCCTATGAATTTTTGAGGCATTGCTTCATTGTATTCCAGCTTAAAAAAAAAAAAAAAAAGGCTTCAACTAGAGGAATATTCTCTATGCCCCTACCCTTTATTATTTAGAGTCCAAAATACCCTTTTTGCGCCTAGTTTTTAAATAGCTGCATGTATTACAGATCTGGTACAGTCAGCCTCCGTTAGTTTGTTCACATAGATACATCTTTCTGATTTGGCACCTTAGTTTATGCTTTCAGACTTTTTGGAAGCTTAAGATAACATTTTGATAGACCATTCTGAAATGATTGAAATCTAGCTTTTCTTTTTATTTTTAAACATTTCCTTATGGGCCAAATTAAATTTTATAAATATCAATTTATGCAGAGGTCAAATAATTATTTCAAGAATATGTTTGGTGCTGTGTATAAGGATAATATCTTCTTCCATAAGTTGATATTTTAATTATGGAATTATATTTACTTTTTATGTCAGGTTACTAAACTATTAGTAGTGTGGTATATCATAATTATAATTTAAAAAGTTCTAGGTATAAATGTTAGTTCTATTACAGATTAACCATGTGATATTGGGTGTTGCCTCATTTCTTGGAGGGGGTCTGTATCTTAAACTGGGGATAATAAAGGGGTGCATGGGTGGCTCAGTTGGGTGGGGCATCCAACTTCAGCTCAGGTCATGATCTCCCGGTTCGTGGGTTCAACCCCCACGTCGGGCTCTGTGCTGACAGCTCAGAGCCTGGAGCCTGTTTCAGATTCTGTGTGTCCCTCTCTCTTTGCCCCTCCCTGTTCATACTCATATCTCTCTCTCTCAAAAATAAACAAACATTAAAAAACATTAAAAAAAAAAACCCTGGGGATAATAGTGGCTACTTGATGAGATTATTGAAAGAATTAAAGAAGAGAATGTTATACAAAGCACATTCTCAGCGTTGTTGCTATTGTGGCTGTTGTTGGTAGTGTTATTAAATAATATTTTTACTACTTACCAAAAGTCAAAATCTTAGTGTTAAATAAGTTGTAGCTGCTATCCAGCTAGTAGTAGTACAGAGTTCCAGTAATAGTAAACTAGTATTCTCTTAACTACTGGTACCTTTAAATATAGTGTAGAATCTGTGAAACTTTTCACTACCAAGAGCTGTTTCAATCGTGCTATTTCTGTTTTTACTAAAGCATTAATTACCAGTATTCACTATAGTGTACTCATAAGAATCGTATTCAAAGCATAGTATTCATTTCCCTCTCAAACCCACACACCCATCCATCTCCCTGAGGCATCATTTTTTTTAACTTTTTCTTTTTTTTTTTTAGTGTTTATTTATTTTTGACAGAAAGAGAGACAGAGCACGAGTGGGGGAGGGGCAGAGAGAGAGGGAGACACAGAATCCGAAGCAGGCTCCAGGCTTTGAGCTGTCAGCACAGAGCCCGACACGGGGCTCGAACTCACAGACCATGAGATCGTGACCTGAGCCGAAGTCAGACACTCAACCGACTGAGCCACCTAGGCGCCCCTCCCTAAGGCATCATTTTAGTTAGTCTGTATACCAACAAAGGATGTGTGGCTCTGTGAATTAAAGTGTGGACTGCCTAATTTTAATAAATACAACTTCTGAAATATATAGTATTTGAAGAATTTTGTTAACATATAGGCTATATTAATTAAGTCACTGAAATTTTAGATTTCTTACATTGCATTGCATTTTTAATTAGGTTTGGTGAACTTAGTCTTCCAAATCTCAGATCTACCTCATGGTTCTCATTATCTAATAGGAGGTTAAATTGAGTTTAGGGTTAGGAAAGCCACATTATTTAGAGCAAATATTTCTTGGGACATAAACTATTAACAGGTTGTCAGTTCAAATGCTAGGTCATTTTATAGTGATGATATGCAGGTATTTCTTATATTTTTAGATTCTAGTAGGTAATTCTAGAAGATCAAGAATTTTGTTGTTTCAGGATGTCAGCAATAATGGCTACCATTTATTGAATTCTCTTTCATACATATAGTGGAGACAGGCTCAGAGAGCATCAATGATCTGGTTAAGGTCAGATAGTTTATAAGTAGGAATCCAGCTCTGTCTGCTTCTAAACTCTCTTCTGTAAATAGCAGCCGAACAAATAAAAATGGTAAGTGGCTTGTTTCAAATAGCAATTTACAATATCACTAACATAATAGAAATGTCAG